AGTTTAAATTAAAATCTTAAATTTTTGTTCTTTTAGCTATTGTTAAAGGTTAAGGTTATTTTAGTAAATAAATTTTATTTTAATTTTCTCAGCAATTAATGAATCATAAAGTATCAAAATTTTTTTTCAATAAATTAGCCTAGTCTGAACTTTAATTTTATAGTTATTTAATTTTAATAAATTGGTGTTAAAAATGCTATATTAAAGTTTTCAGATTTTTACTGCTTAAATTTTTAATGATATTTTTTTTAACTTAAAGGACGATTGTGAGACATGAAAATAGAATAAATAGCTAAAATTATGTATACACGATATTTACATATTTGATAACAAATCTGTAAAATTTAAATCACTAGTTTTTTATTTATTACATTTTTTGTAATTCTGATTACTTTTTTCAAGAACTGTATACTCAATGTATTAGGATTTGTTATAGATAATAGACTTGCTAATAATGTAGTAGGTTTATTAAATGTTAAATTGGCTGATAATAATCCTGATGACAATTTCACTGATACATCATCATTTATTTCATCATTTTTATCCTTGTCTAATGGTGCAGCAAGTCAAGATCTTAAGCCTGTCTTTTTAGCAATCCTTCTTGCAGCAGGGTCACTAGGATTTATTGATTAAACAGCTTCTATTATTTGCATAATTGTTTGTTTTACTGCACCTTTCAAATCATCACATCTTGCTATCACGTAATCATATTTGGCATTTTTTATTATAGCTCCTAAATAAACCTGTGCAACTTTTCTAACTTTACCATTTTGATCTTATAAGCAAGATAGAATTGGTTAAACTATAGGTGACAAATCTGATAATACATTCTTTTTATCACACTCTACATATTCTTTGAGATATTTAGAGAGCCAATTTAATAGATCTTTTCTTAATAAAGGATTATTTATTACAAGACTTGTTGAAAATGAACTAATTAAAAGATTAAGCTCACAAGCATTTACTAAAGCATCCAAAGTTCTAATAACACTACCACAGAATGTTGCTTTTTTTTATCTGTAAGAATAGCAATAATTAGCACTACTAATATTTTAATATGTTTGTCAAATGATTTTCATCACAGTAGCAAGCTTGGCAGTTATATTCAAAGCCATCATTTACAAGTTTTTATTAATATCTAATAGCCTCTCTTTTAGAATAAGAATGAAGTTACCTATAATATAAATATTGTAAATAAGGTTATTTTACTTTTTTTAAAGTTTATTTATATATTAACAAATGTAAGTTTGGTTTAATTTTCTTGTTAGTATTAACAATAATAAGAACTTGATTGAATGCATTCTTTTGAACTTTTTATTTATCATTGTTGTATTTCTAATAATATATATTATTATATTAACTATTAACCATTAAGCAAGAATAATATAATCACTAATTAAAGAAACTTACAGCCATCATTTTACTAGTAAATTGTATGCTAATATTAACTTTAGGAAATAATTCTTCTAAAGAATCTTTTCCACTACTACCTTTACTTATAACATTGACCTTTTTAAATGTATAAATAGATTAAATAAAAATCAATATATATAAAAATAATTCTAGATT